AGAGAGAGAGAGAGAGAGAGAGAGAGAGAGAGAGAGAGAGAGAGAAAGGGGGAGAGAGAGAATAAAGGTCAGAACGTGAAAGGAGCAAGGAGGATCGGACGGAAAAACAGGAAGGAAGGAAAAGGTCAGCAAGAGAGTGAGAGAGCACAATGGAAGGAAGGCAAAAGAAGGAGGAAAATGTCGTTAACGTACGCAATGGTGGCCCAAAGGGCTATGTCTGAGAAGGACCGGAGAGAGAGTGGCATGCAGGCAGAGGAGGATGGGGAAGGAAGGGGGGACGACAGGGGTTCCAACACCCAGGGATCGACATCAACAGGAATCCGACTCACACAATCTAAGGCACTAGGACAGAGAGCACTAGACTTCCTAATGGAGAAAACAAAGATCACAACTCAGGTGAAAGTCACAAAGGAGGTGATCAAGGGACAGGACGGCAAGGAAGAAGAAGTAGACGTTTGGGAGTATCCGGAGCAGGATTTGCAAACACTCCATGATCTATATCAGCGACATGCAGTCCTTTTTAACTTCTCAGGCAAGAACAGGGAGCTGTCACTCAACGACAAAAGGAAGTGGGTAATGGAGAGGCTCAGGGGTTTGGAAAGCATACCGGGCATTGARCCTGAGGTCTYGTACCATAAGAGAGGCAGATTCACAGTGATGATAGTATGCGTGGACCCAGCTTATGCTCAKTACCTGTTATCTCTGGGGTCACTCAGATGTCACGGATCGGTGGTCACAATCCAAGCGTGGAAACCACCTCAGCCACCTCCARCGGAAGCATCAAGGCACCGRCAAACAATGTTGAGGGAGAACTTTTGGGTGCAGTTCGACAATCTCTCGGAGGGCATGCACAGTTTTGTACAGCAACGCCTAAACGAGGAATACCCGAACAACCCGATTATAGAATGGCTACCGGCGAATCCAGACTTCCTAGCCCCAAATCACGACTCTCGGGGGGTGTGTTTGGAGGTCAAATCCAGGGCACCACCTAAGTTCCCGGAGGTGTGGATATTCAGGAGAAGGACGGAACGGATCACGGTCTTCATCTCTACTAAATCGAACCCATTTTGCTTTAAATGCAGAGCAAGGGGGCATCTAGGAATGCACTGCCCTCAGTCAGGTACGGGATCGGGAGGGAAACAGCCTCAACTAAAACAGTCAATGCTGGTGGAAGCAGACAATAAACCAGGAGTCTGGTATATTAACTCGGCACAATACAGAGGGTGGATCTTCAACGACAACCTGGAAACACCTAGGTGGGTTTGGGTTTTAAACAGCAGTCCCACTGTGAAACCAAACATCTACCCGCCGTATGATAGCCGATGGAGACAGGCAGGGGCGAAACGCATGGAAGACAAGGAAGTAGGCTTCATAACGAAGCCCATGATCGACGAGGACACAGTATTGGACGACAAACAGCGTTTGCAGACTATGGCGGAATTGCACAAGCTGGGACAAGAGGCAAAACTGGCCTTCCTGGAAAACAGGAGGGCAAGAGAGGAGGCAGAGAAAGTAGCGGGTGAAGAAAAGGGAAGGGAAGGAGGTGAGGGGGAGGGGAGTAGCAACTCCCCGGACAACGGCAAGAGCACTAAGGAGCAGAGTAATGAGAAGGAGGGAACCAAGGGGGGGAAGGAAGACGGAGGCCCACAGGCGTCCATGAAGAGGAAACTTCGGGACAGGGAAGCAGCGACGTCAACGAGCTCAGGTCAAGAAGCCAAGAGATCCAACACAGGTGGATGGGAAGAGGAAGATCCAGCGTCGCAGGAAAAACAGCAAGGAACGGTTATGGAGGACGCGACGTCAGAGAAGGGCAAGTCACAGAACGAGCAGATGGACATGTCATCATCAGCAACGGCGGAATCTGCAGCAGCTCCAGCAGCGGCATCAGCATCATCGACCCCTCGAAGGAGGGAGGACACGTCATCAGGTAGCAGCAACTCAGCACACAGCCGGCATAAGGACGGTGGGGGAGAACCAATGGAAGTTTCAGCAGGAGGCTCACAGGAGGGGGGGATCAGCGGATCCGAGGAAGACATGCAACAGGACACGGAGGAGGAGTCAGAGGAGGACGTAGAGGGGGAAGAATGGGAGGACGCAGAAGGGGAAGAACAGCCAGAAACTTTGGCACAATGGATCAGAACAGTCCACAAGCTGAGATGGGAGCGACATATCGAGTGCGAGGTTCGCCTGGCACACCACAAGCACCTGCGCAACCTGAAACAAGCAACCACAGCAGGGGAAGATATCACTTCAACCAATAGGTTCGAATGGTTGAAGAAGGAACAGGAGATCATTGAGTTCTACGCTGCGCAATATGCTTGGAAGGCACGCCCAGACAAAAATGATCTCACTGTGCACAACGCGAGCTACGCCAAGCAATTCATATGGCCCAAAACTTATCAACCACAGGGCCTAAAGAGATCTGAACAGAAAAGAAAAGTACAGCAGGAGACAGCGGGCAAGGCAAGCAACATGGAGTAGGGAACGGATGACTCGTCAGAAGAGCTTGAAGAGAGGGAGCAGATTGAGGAGGAAAGGAGACAGGCAGCAATCCTGGAAGCTCAAATCAATGTTCTCAAGGACCAGAACAGGGAGCTGGGGGGCGACACCACCAATTTGCAAAAAATASCATATGCCCCGCACCCTGACATAAATGCAGCAGCCAAACTCTTCACAAGGCACAACCCAGGAAGGAGAGTTATACTGCCATACCGTTGGAACAACGGTAATTCCGACTGGGAGGTAGCTATCCACCGGTCACTAGCTCTGATTACAGCAAGAGACAGCCAGTGTACAAGGGCTGGACTCCGGGAACGGATCACGAAGGACTTGCCAGACAAAGCGCAGCTATGGGGTAGTACCACAGAGGACCGGGAGGAGTGGGAGGACACAGCAGGAGGCAAACAGACGTTAGACTACAGACCTATCGTCTTCGAGCTACAGGAGAGGGCAAAGTTGACAGAGGGACTCATCTGGATGCCATGGCAGGTAGTGGAAACTATACCTTATGGCCTCCTGGGCGGCTTTGAAGCAGCTGAGTGGGTTGCAAGGGGAGCAGAGATTATCACCAGATATGGTGTCTTCACCTGGCTGCCGGATTACATAGGGGAAAAATTGGCTCACATGGTCGAGGAGGTAGACTGGGCACAAGGGGACCCGTGAGGAGCTCGCCCCCCCAAGAGACTCCTGTAAAAGATAGACCAGATGGCAGAGAGGCCAGAGGAAGGAAGACTCAAGAGAAGAAGAGTAGCAATCGGGATAGGGGAGAGAGAAGCAGAGATTAGGGTAGTGTCGTGGAATGTTAATGGCATGGCGCAGATTCTGGACAACAAGGATAAATGTAACAATGTATTGGAAGCTACGGAATGGTTTGGAAGAAACCCACCAGATTTTCTTTGCATTCAGGAAACTCACTTAACCAACGCCCCGCATCACCAAAGCCTGCAGCAGAAGATATTAACGCAGCTAAGATGGGTGAAGGCGAGTTACTGGGCCTGGGCGGTGAGGTCACATTCGGCAGGGGTAGTGATCTTGCAAAACAAAAGAGCRGCTRCTGCAAATAAGATAACTCTTCASGAGGCCTTRGTGGACGAGGGGGAGGGACGTTGGATAAAACTCAACTTCTYGTACCAAGAGGAGCAGTTTACCCTATTCACAGTCTACTGCCCCAACTCACGTCACGACAGATCAGAAATGCTTCAGCTGCTCCAGTCACACATAGAGATTACAAGATATAACATAATGGTGGGGGATTGGAACGCCACATTGGAACCAAGCAAGGATAGATTGATGGGAGGCAACTTGGGATCGGGAGATGAAACGTTGGGGGACGAGGCATTGGCAATTCACGACCTCATGACTGCTTGGTCCCTAGTGGATCCGTTTCGATTACACTGGCCGGACCAGAAACAGTTCACATACGTCAAAAGGAATCGCAGTCAACATATATCAGACTCACGGATAGATTTCTTCCTTATCTCCGAAGGGCTAATAGGAGCGTTGCAGTCGGTGAGAATAGGAGATCTGCCACACTGCAGCTGCTTAGACCACAAGCCCATCTCCATGGACCTGACCTTGAATAAGTCCTCCCAGAGAGGTAGAAGTTTCTATAAGGTGAATAACTCACTGGTGAAGACACCGGAGTTGAGGGAGGCTATCCTGAGGGTGTGTCTGGCTCACGATAGTGAGACGCAGTCCTTTCCAGATTTAATAACGGCCCTATCAGGGGCTACGGCAGCGGTGTCTAGACAGCTAGCGGCTAGAAGAAAAGCCAGGAAGAAGGAATTGCGACAGGCTCTTCGCATAGCGGAAAGGAACATAATCTGCAATCCTGGTATGGAAATGTACGAAAAGATCATGAAATTAGCAAGAAAAGAACTAGGAGACTGGGAGCGTTGGAAGGCAAGAGGGCTGCAGATGAGAGCTAGAATAAAAGAGTGGGAAGAGGGAGAGCGTATGACGAAGTAATTCTTTCAGGAGATTAAAGCTAGGGGTAGAAGCACACAGATTGTGAAACTAGAGGGCCCACAGGGGGAAGTATCAGACCCAGAGGGATTGCTGGAGGTAGCCAGCACCTTCTACAACACTCTTTATAGATCCAAGGAGGGAGAGCAGGACCCAAGGCTAGTAAAGGAGACCCGTGATAAGTTCTTAGAATACTTAGACTGCACGCTTAAGAAGGATCAAATACTAATGTTGGAGGCCCTGTTATCGCAGGAAGAGCTGAGGGAAGCACTAGACTCTATGACCCCCAACAAAACACCGGGAAGGGACGGACTAACAAAAGAATTCTGGCAGGAGTTTTGGGAGACTGGGCGGAGAATACGAGGCCTACCTGAATCAAGCCTGGTTGAGGGAGGGCCTAGGAATAGAAGCCTCGACGGGAGTAGTCACGCTTCTCTACAAGAAAGGGGACCCCAAGGATATCAAGAACTACAGGCCGATCAYGCTGTTGACTCTCACCCACAAAATCATCGCCRAAGCGCTAGCCAATCGAYTRAGGAGGATAACRGAYAGATGTTTCCAYCTCGATCAGACAGGCTTTGTCCCGCGGAGGTTCATTCTAGACAACGTGATGACCCTTTCGGAATCGGTCAGATATATAGCGAATAAAAGATTAAACGCGGCTATCCTCTTCTTCGATTTCGAGAAAGCATACGACCAGGTCAACTGGTCATTTCTACAGCAATGCATGGAAAAGATGGGGGTGGGACCCAACTTCCATAAGTGGAGAAGAGTCTTGTACAACAACTCTCACGGTCAGGTGCAGGTCAACGGGCACCTCTCCGGGAGATACAAAATGACCAGGTCAGTCAGACAAGGGGACCCCTTGGCGGCCCCGTTCTTCCTGTTCATCATGGAGGCTATAGCCTCCTTCCTTAGGAAGGACCCCTCGATAGATCGGTTGGTAGCAGAACCCGACCAGCAGGGCCAATTAATTAACCTGCCCACCACAATACTATTCGCTGACGACCTTACCGTCCTGATCAGAGCCACGGATTCCTCCTTTCAGGCCCTCACGAAAGCAATGGAGGCCTTCCAACTGGCCTCGGAAATGAGAATCAACTGGCCCAAGACGCTAGGATGGTGGCTCACATTTGACCACTCTCAGCCCCATCCGCAGCCTACCATCCATGGGGGTATGGAGTGGGCACATCCACAGCAGCCTCTGAGATATTTGGGTATCAGGCTAGCAGACACGGGCCCCCACCATTCCATGGCCCCTGATTAACAAAGCTAGACGCTTGGTCAAACATCTATACCTCGTTATTCGGTAGGGCACTAATCCTCAATGCCTCCATCTTCTCTATTCTATGGTACGCGGGGACTATATGGTCACCCTTACGAAAGCTTAGAAGGGTAGCGGCAGCTTATCTGTGGACGGGGAACCCAGCCAAAGACAGCTTCATTCCCAAAGTAGCCTGGAGGCAAGTCATACAACTCAAGAGTAAGGGGGGGCTGGGCATCCTTGACCCGGAACTGCAGATAAAGGCACTCCAATCCAAGTGGATTATCAAGCTAATTTCTGAACCTCACCTACGTTGGGTCCCTTTGGTTCTGGAACACATTCGAGGACTGTCCAGGTATTCTACCCCTTCCAACATGGAGGGGACTTTCTGGATCTTCTGCAAGGGATGGTCAAAGAGGGGCAGAAGGGGGGAACAGGAGGGGGAGGAAGACTCCGCTTCCTCCTTGTACTGGGCCCGGATCCTGAAGATTTGGGAGGAGATATTCCCGGCTAGAGTAAGGAAACCCAGGTCTAAGGAGGAGTTCCTCAGACAGCCTCTGTTCTGCAATCCCTGGCTAAAAGACTCCCAAGGGAAGCCAAGGGCACTGACAGCAAGAGATACCAGATGGGGCAACTGGGTGGAGCACGGGGTGTGGCAGATTAAACACCTGTGGTCCCAAGAAGAAGGAAGGTGGAAAACAGGGAGGGAGCTAAGAGTCTTGATGAAGGGTTGTCACAGGCTCACAGAAAACCTGAACGACATCCTGATTTCCGTCCCGCAGGAATGGACCCAACTGTTGAGGGCACCCCACAAATGGATATGGGGAGACTGGGCGACTTGGAGCAACAGCACAACACCGGAACATGCTTTCCGCATACATCAGGAGGTGGGTCCTGACAATCAGTGGCTGGAGGGGGAAATGTTTCCTATTTTGTCTCCYGGCGCCACAGTTAGTCCTCTAGRCAAGGCAGCGAAAGTAGCAGTCGCTATCAGGAAGAATRGGTTAAGGAAAATAAGGGTGATAGAGGATGATGAACTCACGGCGTTTGCTCCTACAACGGCCATACAGGAACTCGAGATAGACCCGGCAGAGTGGGCATGGAACATAAAGGGGAGAGTTTCAGGAATAACCACGAAAGTCAACATCCTGCGGTACACAACCAAGTTGGGCTATAAATTAAGAGGGAGATCGATACAGACGGACCAACCCCTAGCCATCAGATGGGAAAAGCGTGAGGGGATACCAAGAGGGCGGGGAAAAGCGTGAGGGGATACCAAGAGGGCGGGGAAAAGCGTGAGGGGATACCAAGAGGGCGGGTGGAGCAGCTCCCATGGTCAAGGCTGCAAGCCATAAGACTAGGTAAGGTGAGAAGTCTGCAATGGCTCATCTTTCACGTCGCCCTCCCGGTTAATACTCGGCTCTATGATAGGAGGAGCAGGCCAAACAGGGTAGACGGTGAGCAGAACTGCACCTTGTGTACAGGGGGGCTCCCGGAAACAATGAAACACTGCCTCATCTCCTGCGCTGAGGCGAAGCAGATATGGAAAGTGGCGCGCACTCTCTGGGACAGGGTTACGGACGTTCCCTTCCCCGAGGCTGAGGGGCAGCTACTGATTGGCACAGAGGCACCCAGGGAATGGAAGGCAAGTCACAGGTGTATCTTYGAGCTGCTGAGAACCTATACGCTTTGGACAGTGTGGAGAAGAAGATGCCAAATGGTGGTGGGTAATACTGGGATGTCCACAAAGGAAGCTAAGGCAATCCTGTACCACTTACTGGAGACGGATATCAGGGCCCAATGGCAGAGGGTTAAGAAACAAGCGGAGAAACAGGAGGAAACGAACCCGGAAAAAGCCAAGGAAATAATCACTAAGTTTCAGAATAAGGTCCTTGCATCGGGCCGAGTAGCGACACTGGAGGGGAAAACACTCCATTTCCAATGGTTCAGGGAGAATCAGCAGGAAACATCGCAGGACGCCGCGGGGCAGGAACTAGTACTAGACCAACCCTAAAGGCAGGCTGCTTAAGAGGGTGGGAGGAGGGAGGCACAGGCCCAGGGTCGAGATTTGAAGGGCTAACATGAGCAAGAGGCAAGGCTTAGGGTTTAGGGTTTAGTAGACCATTAGGGAAGGGGTTAAATCGTAAAGGGCCAGGAGGGATATAGCAACTCAATCGGTAGGATCCGGGGGTTCACAATGGGAGGATAGTGGTAAGGGATAATATTCGTCGGAGAACGAAGATATTGGATATCACTGGTAGGCGGGATTAATGGGAGGAAAGGAGGTCACTTAAGGCATCTAAATGAGGGGTAGGGTTTAGGGTTTAGGGTTCAACAGACCACAAGGACGGGGGTGAACAGGTCGGACCAAGGAGAACACAGCAAATAAGGGTGGGATGGGTGTGAGGGCCAGCATGGGCACACAGCAGCATGGGAGGATCTCTTTCTAGGCACAATAGTCATAACTGGCAGAGCTGCGAAAGTAGGTCTGAGAGGGAAGAGGGACTCTAGGCAAGCTGACAGTCAATCCTCCACCCAAAGTGGAGCAATCAATGCTGTTCAGGGGTCCTCCGGCTGGCCGGGAGGAAGCGTGAGTTGTTTTGCAGTGATGTATCATATTTTGACTTGCCGGTGGAATAGGAACCGGACTGACGCTCCCCAGAATGGAAGGAGTCAGGACCATAAGGCCCTGTTTTAATGGGAAAAAAAAAAAAAAAAAAAAGCAAAAAGCAAACCAATGAAATCCATTAAATGATTAAAATCCAATCAAAAGTTCAAAACCCATCAAACAATCAACCACTCAGCAAATCTTCTCCCTCATCTAACGACACGTCGCATATGCAGGTTTTCTTTTTTCCCTATGCATCTGGGCGTTTCTGGGCCTGGGCACCCCTATCTGAAACGTCCAGATCTGGTTTGCCTGGTCTTACGGACGTCCAGATGCAGAAGTCGGGCCGCACTTCCAGGTCTGGACGGCGTCTGGGCCCGTTGTAACAGTGCTCTATACGTAACATAGTACACACAAAACTCTCGCTACAGAATACATGTATGACTGTTGCCTGTTGCACAAACCTACTATAAGTCTATAACATCTATTCATAGCTGACTCCATAGCACTCACATATAACCTTCAACAGGTGCCTGTGGCCACTCCTAATACATGAACTGTGGTGCAACTGACTAATTTGTTTTGTGTTTTCTTGTTTTCCTCAGGGAACTTGCTCAGTAGAACATTGGGGTTGCTTAGGAAGAACTGTGGTGGGAAGATCCCTGTGGACTCTGGAGCTGTATCAGAAGGGCATATTGTCAGAGAACAGGCAGCCAAGTCGGTGCGTCCTTTGGCACAGTCAATCTAAATGGAAGCCGTAGTCATATGTTTGCTCCCGCATCTCACATGAGGGTGTCCATCTTGATGAAATCTTCAGACCTTGTGAACTGCGCTTTGTGCGCAAACCACTTAATCCGTGGTTCATGTGTCTGTGTCTTCAGGCTGGTTGTCGGGTGACTGCACCAGATTGCCATTGTGTAACCAATTTTCAAACTTCTCAGATCTTCTCTTACTGTTCAATCACTGCCACTATATAAATTGCTGGCTTCCTGTGTGTAAATGAACATGCAATCATGGCAGTTCCGTGATGGGATGTGACAACTCGGAGCACTTGCTCATTTGTCTCAGAAATGAAGGAGCACAAGATTGCTATCCTTGCAGTGCTTGATACAGAAATGGCTGACTTTTTTTTTTTTTTTTTTTTTTTAAATGGCTGACATTTCTCATCCAAAAGTTTTCTGGGATTGTTCATCCAAAAGTTGCAGGAAGACCAACCTGGGGCAATGCATGATGATGATTTTTCCTGTCCAGGCCTTGTTCAGTTCTGCACAGTGCTGTACGTGAATTATGACAAGTCATTCAGTGTTTATAATTCGATCTTTCTTGTGCTTTCTTCAATTTGCAAGGTGGCTGCGACAGCACGGGACTATGAAGAGCTGTCCTTTGGAGCAACTGGTGAGGCAATTCTTGGATTGGCGACAGCATGCAATCATTACCTTGATGGACAGGTAATACATCCCTTATCCGTGAACATAGCAAAGGGGCACGAGGCTACTGCTTGTCAATCTTTTTCTTAGAGAGAAAAGAACAAACACCGGAGGTATAAGATTGTCAATTTGTCACCCAGGGGTGCTCCTAGCCAACCTCAGTTCGCCAGAAGAGTCAGCATTGACAATCTTTCACCTCTCTTTCAGACCAAATGTGTGTTCGCGAGTCTGACGTAATGCAATCCCGCTTAGCCACCTGAGACCTACTCAACCAAACGAGGCCACTACACTGTCACCACGGTCTCGGCCTGAGCTAACTCTCCCTTCAGTCGGGAAGACGAGGGAGAGCAACGGTCACAGTAAGGATTCTGACTGCCTCCAGGATCCTCCCCTCCCATGAGCTGGCAGAGCCGGTGTCCCACAATGCGCGATCCACCGAGGACAAGACAAGGCGCTACTGAAGCAGGATGGTTGACAAAGGACACGCTGGATGCCCAGTTGTAGCCAAGTCGAGGCTACCGTCTTCACCCGAATAGAACGCCCGGTAATTATCGCTGCATCTGGACCGAAAGTTGTGCCAAATACAGCTATACTGACCGGGCGTTCTATTCGGGTGAAGACGGTAGCAGGCCTGACAGTTGCAGACTGCCTGTGACTCGGAGCTAAGGGAGATAACTTCATCAAGCAGAGCTAACAATCGTAGTTGGGCGGGCTCCCTATCTCAAACTGCTCTTCAAATGAGTGACCGCCTTCGCACTTCCTGGTCCTCCAATCTCGATCTGCTCTCCGAACATGTGATGGCCTTGGTGTTCCCTGGCCATGCCCGTGCTCCCCGCTGACTGAGCGCTGAAGCAATGGATCTCGAACTGTTCTCCAAACGTGTGAACACCTTCCCGCTCCCTGTTTGCGGACATACTCCCTGCTGACTGAGTGCTGAGGCTCCCGATCTCGAACTGTTCTCGGAATGTGTGAGCGCCAACGTGCTTCCACTGCACCTCGAGCTCTCCCCCGTCCGATTTGCACTAGCGTGCTTGCCCCCTTCGTATGCACTTGCCCCCTCTGTATGCATTGACCCCCCCCCCCCCATACTCGCCAACCCACAGGCCTTTCCGACCATTTACATCCTGCTCTGGACGAGTTCTAGTATTCCCTCATTCCCACACCTGGAATGTGGCCCCAAGAAACACCACCGCTCATACGTGCACGAGCAGACAGGTGTAGTTGCCAGTGCTCCTCTCCCTCTTGCCTCCCCTCCTGCCCTCCATGGCACTATCTGACCATTCATCAGATGCTGGCACGGCTTGATGTTCACCAGTTGTGTCCATTGTTTGGCCTCGCCCCTGCTGCTGTGCCCGGAGTAGCCCGACCCTCTTTCCTTTTTACGATAGTCTCGTATCTCTCCAAGACATACCCTCACACATCCCACAGAAGGTAAGGATCTCCCCGCATTTGCACCTAGACACTCGCTATCTCTGCCCATTCGTGTCCGTCCATCCCTTTTCCTTCTTTCCTTTCGTCAGCCGGTTCACTCCCTCTGGCCCTACGCAAGTTGCTAGTTCCAGACCCCTCGCCGCTCGTGAGCAGCAGGGTGACCGCGAGTGAATGCGAGGCAGAATGATCCTTTTCAGGGCCTGGCCTTATTCTTTTTGTGTTCACTGGCGTTGGCCAGCCTTGGCCCAGATTTTCCTGAAGCTGATGGCCTAGATTCAATGTTGACCTGCTTACCATGATCACCTCCCCTAGCGAGGAGACCGTTTTTTCGACGAAAAAAAAAAAAAAAAAAAAAAAACGGATGCACTGTTCACCCAGATGTGTTATGTCCCAGTTGGTACTGGAATCTTCTGGAAACCTGCAGACAACCTTTGATGTGAATCTGATCTACGGCCGTGGTTGACCAGCGGGGGACTTTGACTTTGAGCCTGCTACTCCCGTGCTGGTTCTGACTCTTGATCTTCCAAGAGTCAACGGTCTGGCATGGGGGTACTGGACGCAGCTTTTGACTCAGGGTCAGGTACCCCTTGTCCCTACCTTCTTCCCCCGATTACAACGTACGGTCATTATAGCTGTATTTAGACTGAAAGATACCTCAGATACAGCTATAATGACTGTACATTGTATTCGGGAGAAGAAGGTAGGACTTTTCTCAGCCCTTTCTGAGACTGTGGACACGACTTTTGGTCAAAGCCCAGTCTGTTATGCCCCTTGCTTCTTTTTTTTTTTTTTTTTTTTNTTTTTTTTTAAACCCCTTGCTTTTGTTTGTGCGGATTTGAACTGAGTTTATTGCAGTTTGGATTAATAGGGTGATGGCCTTGAGGTATCATGGTTGCACTGAGTGGCCCCAGGTAATTTTTTTTGTTCAGGTGCCATCAGGATTTGAAGTAAGGTCGGTTTATCAGCAGTTTACGGGGTCGCCATTCAGCCAGATGGGCTAGGAACCTTTTTTTTCCTTCCTTTCCCGGTAATCGAATGCTGTTGTTTTTCCCTTTTATATTTATTTCAAAGTTTACTGAAACGGCCTCAGTGGCCAAGGCAGTATCTCATGAGTAGTGCGGTTCCTTGTGCGAGTACTGCGCCGCCCATGTGGTGTTGCGTCTAGGACACTACAGCCTTGCAGAAGTGGGGCAATTCAGGAGCCTTGTGTATGTGACCGGCCAATGGAGCAGTGGGGTTCACGTGCTGGATTCGAGCAATGTGTGTGAGCACTGCCGTCTCCGTGTGGTGTTGTGTGCGGTGCGAGTAAGGTGTGCTGGATATGAGGGTGTTATGGTTCCCCACTCAAACACCGTGTTCTGCTGTAGTGGTTGAGACACTTGGCTCTTGTGGTGCATTGTGCTGGTTCAATTCTATGTGTGCACAGATGGGCCTGAGTAAGGCTAGAAATTATGGATCGATAATTAAGCGCTCTGGCCATTCATATGGGGACACGGAGAGCTACTCTCTCTCTCTCTCTCTCTCTCTCTCTCTCTCTCTCTCTCTCTCTCTCTCTCTCTCTCTCTCTTTTTTCCTTTCTTTTTTTTTTTTTTTTTTTTTTTTTTTTTTTTTATTCTGTGTGTGTGTGAAACTGAAGTTCCCCAGCCTTGTGGGAGGTCGATGAGTGGCTAACAAGTGGTCCTCCACTGGTTGGTCTGCCGGGTGGCTGGAGCCTGGTGGCCTTCCAGTCAGGGCTGTTGAAGGTCAGCAGTGCAATGCTTGCTACAACACAAAAGCATAAAAGAAGTGTAATTATTTGTGCTAATCAGAATGTGCATGATGTGTGTCCTGCACCTCTATCAGGCCCCATGGTTGCAGTTTAAGAAGGGTACCAATGAAGCAGAGCAAGCTGGCATGGTGAGTCTTCTCCATATGAAGCATAAGCCCTTCTGTGTGCAATCTCCAGCTGGCTATGTTTACAGCAACCCATCCTGCATCAACCAGCACTGGTCTATCATGCTCAGTTTGTTTCCTCCTCTCGTGCACCCCTCCCAATTCCCTCTCTGTGCCCCCCCTCCCTGAGAGGTTTTGGTTTGCAGTGCAGAGTCTGAAACCACCGAGCTAAAACCAGCATGTTTGCCACTCGTTTGGTGAGTTGGTGATCTTCTGAGTTCTAGCCATTCTCCGAACCATGATGAAGGTGACCAGCAGGTCACAATAGGTCTGTTGCCCCAGGTGCGGCCTGTATAGACTTGCCGCCCACTTGTTGGTGCACTGTAAATATTGGGGAACAGGAAGCCTATAGGATGGAAAAGAGGGCATGTATACAATGGACGGAGGAGGCAGCAAGTGCACAGAACCACCTGCTCCCCACCACCTATGGTATTAGAGGATGCTTGTTCTGGATTTCCAAGGGATGAATAGAACACAACACATTGATGTTCTCACTATCTTCTTTGTTTTCCTAATGTTCTCCCTGCTTGGCCTGATACGTCACTGAATCCCGATTCAATATATCTGGCTGTAACGTACCAGGACTTGGTGATTGTGTTGGAGGCATCAAGAATTCTTGCAGTGCTGCTGCAGCCGATGGTGCCCGCTCTCTCGCAAAGAATATTCCTGCAGCTTGGATTCTCAGACACAGACTGGACCCAACTGTCTTGGGTAGGGACCATGGGCATAAACCATGCTTTCGCCTCTCTTCATCCCCACCTCTTTCCTTCTCTTCTAGCGTTTTCTCTTCCGGCGTTTTTTTTTTTTTGCTTTGCAAGACTTGCATCTGTAATGTTGATGGTTGTCCAAACATGAACTTACTCTCCAATGGATTTCTTAGTGCATTTTTCATTTTTTCATTTTTGACTAATAAATGCATGTAATTGTGACCAGGGTTACCCGCCCGAATGTTCCGGAGGAGTCTCCGCCCCCCCCGAACGTTCGGGTGTCCAGCTGCCCGAATGTGAGAGGGCCAAACTTCCCAAAGTTCGGCCCCTGCCAAAAATCAATTTGGGGCCTGAAGTTCCCTAAACTTTTTTTTTTTTTTTCTGGAGTTCTGTAGCATGTAGGGTACGTGCCTATAATTTTCAGGGCATTTGGCTGATCCAAAAAAAAAAAAAAAAAAATCGCCAAAGATGGTGATGTCAAAAATGTGCGAGCCCACTCACTATTTCAGTATTTTGTGTTTTTTTTTTCTTTTTCCCTTTAATGTGTGTGTGTGTGTGTGTGTGTGTGTGTGTGTTTGAGA